AAAACCGAAAATTCTTCCACCACTATTTTGCCGTGTTTTACCTGTGACGAAAGTGGCGTTCGATTCGGTAAGAAAAACGTCACATTTTTTCTTTGAAAAAGTATATTTTATTTTTAGCTAAAACAAATCACGACATAATCTTCCTGAGAAAATCAAACTTTTCCACAACTGTTAGAGAATGCAAAATTTTTTTTTGTTTTTATTTTTATAAAAAAAAGTCACCGCCGTTGCCAACACTAAAGCTAATGTCATGAGTCTCATGACCAAAAGTACATGCCATTGAACGAGTCGGGTCGAGGGGCTCAGTCCTGCTGTACATTGCCTTGCTATATGTTCACCATCAAGTCCTGAGGATAAGATAGTGCCACTCAGATCAGAGGCTTAGGTTACCAAATCTGCGGCTGCTGCCGCTGAGTGACACCATCACACAAGTGTCACCGGTTCTCTCTCTCTCTCGCTTTATGCACACGATGGCTGTGCAATGCTGCACTGATTTTAACCTCAAATACTTAAAAAGTTTACTTTAAAAACGTTTGCACTTTGTGAAAAGACAGGTGGCCACTTCTCTCAAAGAAAGAGATAGACAAAATACTTATCATTGACTAGATAACTACTGCAGTAGGGGTAAAGGTGCTAAAACCCTCTAATTGACAATTTACTGCTAAATTTTAATTGGATTTTTAACAACAATTAACGATCATTACTACTACCACTACTATCAAAGCAACTGGTGGATGACAACCAGTAATGAAGATTGACATCCAAAGCCTTAAAGGTTTAGCATGTACTTTTAGTACAATTACTGGATTTAAAGTTTAGCACCTTTTTGCTTTTTTACCAGGAAAATGCCAATTAATATCCGGCGTAAAAATTGATTTCAATTCACATTGGGATAAATCAAGTGTGCAAAGAAATTGTCGGCGCAACCACTACTGTTTGTCACAGCAACAAGAGTTGTACAAACTTTTCAAACTGAAATGTTTCTCTCTGCAATTTCCATGATTTCCTTGATTTCAGGTGGTAAAAGGGGTGGAAGGAAAGAGGAAATCAAATTGATTAGCAACTAAAACAATCAAATAACTGCAGTTAGCCGCATTAAGTAGCTGTAAAAATTGCCATTAAAGTAGCAGTAGTAGTAGTAGTAGCTGTGGAGTAGACCACCTTGCAGAAGTAAAGTCTGATAACAATGTGCGGTGAAAGCAAAAGTGACTGGAGCAGTTGACTGAATGAGTGTGTAAGTCTCGGATGGCTGCATCAGTCATCGGCGGTGTCTTGAGCTAGCTATTTCTCGATAAGATGCTGATGCTGATGATGGTGATGAGGAGGAGAGATGGCGACTATTAGAGAGAGTGCAAATCAAGTGTCGCCGATGGAGTTGGCTGCCGCAGCAGTGTCAGGTCGTCGCCGTCCTTCTTCAGTCGTCATTAATCCGACATTACTTACACCAGTGTAAAACATTGTGCGTCAGTGTCACCCCAGAACAGTACTGGTGCGATGTCCTTAGAGTCGGGTGCCAATAAGAGGTGCTGAGAATCACACCCGACGACATTCTTTATTATTTCACTGCTACCTTCTACCTAAACTTCTTTTTTTACGACCATCATAACAATATTTTTTGTTGGCTGCTTACAATCGCCATTTTTAATCTTCATTTTGATTTTCTGTAATTACATCTTTCACTTTGGTTCATCTCTTATCAGCCATTTTTGGCTGCCGCCGCAGCTTATCTTTTTTTGCATGATTTTTTATATGGTTGCATGTCTTTCTTTTATTGCTTCTCATTGACAAAAGCAATTCATGTGCCTTTCTTACTTCTTTTTTATTTACTTTATCTGATTGTGATATTTTTTTACTATCCTGATCGGCCGTTTAGTAAAGTGAACACGGAAAGGGAGATTCTTATTTGCCCTGTGTTTTTCTAAAGTTCAAAGTGTGCCCAACACGTTTTTTGTGCCAATGTCAGATGACCAGGGCCACTGAATGTACACAAGAGAGAGAGAGACAAAACGTGTTCTTTTGATGTGTTTATTTGATTATTAATTACTATCTCCAAGCATCATAATTACCTACTGACTGTTGCTGCTGATAAGCAAACAAAAAATAATTAAACATTGTACTTTTTACTTTTTTATCTAAACAAAAATATTTAAACACTCTTACTGATATTCAGGTAACAAGGGGAACAAACAAACAAAAACTNACATAGAAAGAGACAAAACGTGTTCTTTTGATGTGTTTATTTGATTATTAATTACTATCTCCAAGCATCATAATTACCTACTGACTGTTGCTGCTGATAAGCAAACAAAAAATAATTAAACATTGTACTTTTTACTTTTTTATCTAAACAAAAATATTTAAACACTCTTACTGATATTCAGGTAACAAGGGGAACAAACAAACAAAAACTACTTAGAGCAAAGAAAGTGCAAAACTAAATCAATAAAATCAAAACTGATAATCAAAACCTTTTTCCAATACTTAAACCTACCCCACTTTACACAGAGAATGCTCACAACTGTAGCGGAAACAGAAACCTGACATTTACTGCGTTTTCACTGCTCACGACCGCCATCATCCCCCTCATCTGAGCTACCCTCATCATTCCTGTCACCATCATCCCCACTACTACCAAAGCGAGCACACCCTTCCGCATTCACCCCCTTTTACCACTCCACGTTGAACATGAACTCAACCGATAACCTAGTCAACTACGCCTCAAACGGAGGCGGCGGCGTAATTATTAGAAACGGTGGCAGCCTACGAAACGGCAGCTTTGCCAGCGTCAAATCAGTACCCAAACTGGCGGACTTTATCACCCCCAATGTAGAAAATGGCACCCACCTCGTGCTGGGCTCAGATGAGAAGGCCAAATCCTTGGCAGGCGGTTCGGCGGGCTCATCCGTCGGTGACCCCGTCGAGGAAGAGGAGTTTGACCCGCTCAGCGAAGAGGTGCCCGATAATGAGCGCACCAACTACGGGCAAACGCTGATGAACCTGATGAACGGTATCATCGGCAGTGGCATCCTCTCTATGCCCATCGCCTTCCTCAACGGCGGTTGGTTGGTCGCCTGCATCGTCACGCCCCTAATTGGCGCCATTAGCTGCTACTGCATTCACCTGCTCCTTTCCGTTAACGTATACCTGACGGCGGCAACTGGAAAGGCCTCACCCTACGACTATCACGAGGTAACAAAATAGTGAAGAGAAGCTGGCGCCAAAAGATTCAGTTTTAGCTAACTTTAACTCTCCGTCACCAGATGGCAGAGTACGCCTTTCTTCTGGGTCCTAAGCGGCTGCGACGCTTCAGCAAGTTCGCCCGGTTGGCCGTCATCTGGACGATAGTTTGTACGCAAGTGGGCGCCTGCTGCGTCTACTACGTCTTTATTGCCACCAACTTTAGAAAGGTAATGAGCCCAAAATACTCTTTTTAAAAAGCCTAACCATATTGCTGCCACCAGTTTCTGGAGCACCGCATCGGCGACCCTTCCCGCCTGCCGAGCGAGTCCATCTGCCTGGTGGCCATCCTGCCCGTGGTGGTGGCCATCAACTGGATCCGCAACATTCGCTACCTCAGCTACCTGAGCACAGTGGCCAACATCCTCCAGGTGGCCGGCATCAGCGTCGTCCTCTACGACCTCTTCTCCATGCCCATCGGAAATCTGGACCGCCTGCCCGCAGTCGGCTCGAAGATCCCCCAGTTCTTCGTCACCACGCTCTTCATCTTCGAGGGCAGCAGCGTCTCAATGTCGCTGTACAAGGCCATCAAAAAGCAACGACAGTTTCGCATGCCTCTCGGCGTGCTCAATGTGGGCGAGCTGGCGATCATGGTCGCCTATACGGGAGTGGGCTTTTTCGGGTACCTGCAGTACGGCGAGCTGACCGAGGGAACGATTACCGCCTCACTGCCAGCCGAGCCCATGTACGATGCCGTACAGCTGTCCTATGCGGTAGTGGTCCTGGGCACCTACCCCATCCTCCTCTACGTGCCCATTCAGGTGCTGTGGGGCATCCTCAAGCGGAAGCTCGCCCCCAGACTGCAAAGTTCCTCTTCAGGAGACTTGGCAAAGCACCCGGTGCCTGCCGGTGGAAAACGGCTGCTCGTCGCGGAGCTCGCCTTCCGAACTGCACTCGTCGTTGTGACTTGTGAGTAATCGGATTTTTATGTTTTTTGTTCAATTTTTTAATTTTTTAAAACTTGCAGATTTACTTGCCGTCCTAGTGCCAAAGCTTGATCTAATCATTGCCGTTGTTGGGGCGGTTACGAGCAGGTAAGAAAAAAGTTGTTTTATTTTTACATTTTTTATTTACATAAACTTTTACCAAAACAGCTCAATTGCCGTCATCATCCCCTCAATTTTACATACGGTCACATTTTGGGATCAGCGAAGAGGTAACTAGTAAATTTTTAATTTCAAAATTTCAAGGTTTTAACTGATTACAAACTCTCTAGGTCGTCTCGCCAAACTGCGCCTTCTCTCCGTCAATCTAGTCCTCTTTCTTATCGGCATCACCGCCTTCATCCTAGGTTTCTACTTTTCACTAGCAGACATCATCGACTCGTACCGTCATCATGGCGACCATGTGACCAAGCCACCACCACCATTCCCATCATCACTTCCACCGCAACTGAATGGCACCACTCTATACTCGCCTAGTACTCATCATCTTTTTTAAAACTCATCTTTTTAATTTTCAAAGTCATTTGCTCACCTCACTTTTTTTATTATTTATCAGCTCATTTGATGGATCTCTCACTTTGAAATATTGATTTTACTTTCAACTTTATTATTTTTGCATTTTCAAGCTTTTTACACTCTCCTTCATTATCATTTTATTAGACAAATTAAGATGCACAACATTTTGTCTCTATTGTTGTTTGTTTAACCAAGTTAGCATACACACAATGTTTTTCAATAGAATTTATGCCTTAGAATGTAATTGCCAATTTTGCTTTGGCTTTTTTCTCTCTGGAATTCTTGCATTATTCTTTAATTTACATTCAAATTTTGTTTTTCTTTTCCCTTTTGTTCGCCGCCACCACCACTCGCCTCATTTTCTAACATTTTCTAATATTCTTTTCTTATATTGCCAAACTGGCAATCTAGCCAATAAAGTTTGTCATTTTCTAATGCAAACAAAGCGAGTGTGTCAGCTGCTGCTGTCGGCAAGTTTGTTTCGTTGGAGCCAAAACTAAAAACTAATAAAAATAGCCCTTTTCCCGTTTTCAGTCAGTCAGTTTTCTCCCCACACACTAAGCAGCTTTCACTCACTTAAGCAGCCAACTTGAAAAAGAAAGAAAGAAAGACTTTGTCTCTGAGAGAAAGAGTGAGGAGGTCCATTCTAATTAGAAATGGACAAAGGATGAAAAAAGAAGAAAAACTAAAACTGATGAAAAAGTTGGGTGAATGAGAGTAGGGGATTATTTAATGAGAAAAACAAAACACCAAGCTCATTGATACTTGATGAGAAGCGGATGATGCTGAGAAGCAGTTTTCCAAGAAATTGAAACCAAAAAAACCGTCATTGATCAGGATAAAAACTTTTAAATTCAAAAAACTCATTTTTTTCTGATTTTTATTTACCAATTACAACTAAAACTAAATAACAAAAACTTTATTCTTTATTTTAGTTCACTCAGTAAACTAGAGTGCAGCGTCTGACTGAAGGCAATGAGGAGGAAACCGACGTAAAAACTTAGCAGCTAAAAAACATTTAATCAGTTTTAAATAAACTTAAAAATCTTTAAAGTTACCTCTACCGCCGATTGNCCGTCATTGATCAGGATAAAAACTTTTAAACTCAAAAAACCCATTTTTTTCTGAACTTTATTTACCAATTACAACTAAATCTAAATAACAAAAACTTTATTCTTTATTTTAGTTCACTCAGTAAACTAGAGTGCAGCGTCTGACTGAAGGCAATGAGGAGGAAACCGACGTAAAAACTTAGCAGCTAAAAAACATTTAATCAGTTTTAAATAAACTTAAAAATCTTTAAAGTTACCTCTACCGCCGATTGTGTGGTGACCAGCTTCAGACTGCCAATACTAAAAGCAATCCTCGGCCCGGCAACCAGGCGTCCAAAAAGTGCATCGAGCTTTATCTGCAGCGTAAGCCACCTGTTGTCGCCGCGGAGCAGGGCGCCCATCCGCGGCAAAAACCGCTTCGGCCGGTGATGAACCTCGGAGCTGAAAGAGAGTGGAAGGAAAACGGCAATGACCGTCGCCGCCTGTCCCAGTATAAGCACCCAAATGATATCGTCAGTGAGGTCGTCCAGGCGGCTAAAGAGGATGCTCCGTCGAAAGAGGTACACATTGACGGGCAGCTGAGCGAGGCCCACTCGAAGGAGAATGGCCGAGAAAAGTTGACCATTGCTGCGCAGCACCTGACGGCAGATTTTGTTGTGCTCAGTCAGTTGATTACTCACAATTAGGTGATTGTAGATGGAGTATGGCAGAAAAGGTAAAGTAATCGTTTTTCTAAGGTTTAATGAACTTTTTTCTCCTTTGGTGTACCTTCCCAGTAGATACTGAACTCCTTTTTGCAACTCTAGCGAGTGACCAGTGTGGACGATGGTGGAGATGAAGGCAAAGTTGATGACAAAGGCAACTGATTGGCAGGCACGGGTAAAGAAAAAGAAGGTGAACATCCAGTCAGTTGCCACTATCAGCTGAGAGAACCCTAACAATAACGGAGGACCGTTGTAGTGAAAATAGTTCCAGAGAAAGAGGGCAAAAATCATCAAAACTAAAATAATAAACCAGGTTTTAAAGACAAAATTTAACTTTAACTCATAAAACTCTTACCAACAGCCATCAAACCAAGAAAGGTAACCAGATCGGCAGTAAAGAGGTAACGCAAAATGTGGGTACGCACCCTTACTGAAAGATGAGCAAAACTTTGGGCCGGTCGAACGTGCTGTCGCTGATCAAACAACATTGACTTGTCTACATTTTCCAGTCGATAAAGGACTAGCAATCTCGTAAGCATTTTTAAAACAATTTCAGGTACCACCTTTGCAAACACTGGATACTTGGCCATCAGAAACGCCTGTCGCCGGTCGTAGACCACTTTTAGGCGAGAATTTCGAATCACCGCTTGGCGATAGGCGTCCTGGTTGAACACCACCAGCTCGTACCACCAACGCCACCAAAAGATATGATTTGCTGATGAAGAAGAATGAATGCATCGCTTCTTCAGTTCTTCAAAACGACAAAAAGCCTGTTGAATGAGGTAATCGCTGAGGACGAGAAGGTACAGGGATACCGCCATAAAAGGCTGAAAGAAGCGGACGTTTTGCGAGAAGATGCTCACCAGGGGGTCAATTCCGGCGGCTACCCTAATTACCCACGGGTTCTTAATGTAGTGAACAATGAAGGCCGGAAAGAAAATCCGGGTAAAATAAAGGAGAACGGCAATGTCTCGGTAGTAGCGAAACCGAGAGCAAAAAAGCTTTTTTCTGTCATCATCTTCTTCTTCCTCCCCAAAATACTCCTTTGACATGCTGTAAAAGCAACGGTAAAACCGAGAGAAGTAGTGAACCACTTCGTGTTGAATCAAAGCTGGAAGGCTTTTGTGCATGGACTGAAACATCATTTTGGTGTGAATGAGGAGTTTGAATAGATATTCAAAGTTGAACATTTGGTCATTACCACAAAAAAGGTTAACAAAATGACAACTAATCTGAATTGCAGCAGAACTCCTAGTAATCACACAGTTTTATCAAACAAAATATTGATTTTTACACAAAATATTTTTTGTTTTTGCAGTTTTACAAGAAAAACAAAAACAGCTACTGTAAAATTGAAAAATATTTAAAAGCAAAAGTTTTTTGTTTTATTTTTTGGTCGAATTTTAATTAACTTGAGTAAACTTGTTTTGAAAAAACTTTAAGTTTGTGCAAACAAACTTCCATTAAATAAAAAAGTTGCAACTTTAAAATATTTTAACTTTCTTGTGTTTAAACTTTGCGTGCCGAGAAGAGTACGCTGAAACTTAATTACAAGAATTAATTAAAGAAATGCACTCGTGATAAATTTATTTACAGTAAAAAATATTTCAAAAGCCTATGCATAATTAAATAGGAGTGTGTATTTTACCAAAAAAATCATAAAAATTACAAGTAAAAATAGTAATTTTTTAATTTTTTGTTTATTGCAAAATTACAAATTTTCAATTTACAAAAGTAGAAATGCTATTAAATCCAATATTATGTAATCTAACTGTTTGTCAACCAATGGGTTTACAAACAAAAATAAAAATAGTAAAAATTGTCTTTTTTTCTTTTCTAACTAAACTTTTTCGCCTTTTTCTTTTAATTCAACAATAGTAAAGCGTTTGTTGCCGCCATCGTTGCAGTTGTTTAATTAAAGCTTAAGTCAAACTGAATAAAAGTCAAGGCTACTTTTGTTTAAATTTTTCACAAAAGAAGATTAAAGGAAAAAAAGAATATATCATCATTTGTTAATGAAAAAAACAACGCCAGCAACTACTAATCCTAAAAGTTTTGGAAAAATTCAAAGCAAAAAACAATCGGAGCAAGAGAACTCTTACACACTGACTCGTTTGGAAATTTCGTTTTTCAAAGCAGTCGCAACATACTTAAAAAGAAAATATTTTAACATTTTTGCAACACTTAAAAATTGCAGTTACCACTGGTCAAGAGTCATTTTCTCCCCTTTTCCTTTAGTGAACAACGGATACGGCTTCTCAGACTTTCAGAGATTTGAGTTTTCTGATTCAGACAGACAACGAGTTGACTGAGTGGCACGCGTCGCACGTGTGGCACTCTCCGACACTACTGTCTTGAGGCAGCAGACGACGATGACCACCACCACCACCAACTTCAATGAAAAGTCGGCCATTTAGATAAGGCAGACAGAGAGCAGACAGAAGAGTTGTGCCGAGCGAATACATTTCAGATTGGCAATTCAGTGTCTGTGTCTGTGTGTGTGCATGCGATCATCATCATCAGAATGTCTGGACAACTTAACTCGACCAATTTCTGCTGACCGATCAACTCCTTCTTGACCACTGACCGCTGGTCACTGTCTAGACGTCCGCTCAGCAAAACTGTCAGAAGAAAGAAGGAAACATTGCAGGCACTGATGCGAGCAGTGAGGCCACAAGGTCCCCTCTTTCTTTTTTTCTTGTTGTTGTTGTTGGGCGGTAGTCTAGGGTCCGTCTGGCAGGGCCGTTTGACAGTGAAAAAGATCGGCTTGTCACAACTGCTTGAAAACTGAGACTGTAAAAATATTTGTGCAAGCCTAATCATAACCGCCAACAAACAAACTCACAGTCTCTCCCTATCTTTCTCTTTAATAACCACTCGCCTCTATAGTGTTGGTTCCATTTGGAACATCAGTAAACCAGTGTTTGTGTGCGTGGTAGCATCGCTTTCACGCAACACTACAAAAAGTAGTAAGGTGGAGTCAGCGGTGGTAATAAAAAAGCATGCGTCATCAGTGACTGCGACTGAGGCGATCCAATTGGAACAGAGGACTGCGACTCTGGCTTTAAAAAGCAGCAATCCTGATTAGAAGATTATATAGTGATGCTGGTTAGTAGTAGGAAATTCTCGCTGGATGGTAAATATTTTAAATTGTTTTTTGTTATAGTAAAACTTTTTAACAATTCATAATGCAAAATAAAATAATTTTGACTTTATGTAAAATGAGCTAATAATATCTTCTACTCAATCACTGTCTTGGTCTCGCAGAAACACTGAAACACAAAAATTCAAATATGATTCATCATAATTAGCATTCTTAAATGCACTAATTAGCGACAGCAAACATATCTCATTCACACGTCTAGCAACAAAATATGATGCTACATCGTTTTTCCATCAAAAAATTACTAAAAGGTTTTCAGAGCAAAAACTGTGCACAGACAGAAAGAATCACCCAAAGGGGTAGTCGATGCAGTCAATTCTGCCACAAACTCTGACAAATTTGAGCACCCTAATGGAGCGATCATGTAAGAGTGCCGAGCGACACACACATTGCACACCGAACTGAAAGAAGAAGGCAAAGAAGAAACCAAAATGATAGTCAGCTTCTGCTAAATTAAATCGCCAAGCTGTGTCACTCGTCAGTGGTAGAAAGAGAGAGAGAGAGAGGACACTCTTGGACACTTGGTCCCCTCGATTTGAAGCCCCTTTCTTTGTCGTGTGGCCAACGCGTGCACTGCGTAGAATACTCGTTGCCCACTGAGCTGTCCAGCACTCTGTGTCCAGTGTCTGACCAGCACGGTCAGTTGAGCATGTCCAGCGGGCAAGGGCTGCAGTGGCAGCAGCAGCAGTCAGTGCCATATGTCGCTCACAGCTCTTTCTGCACGTGCATTCTGACTATTGGTGGTCACTGGTGGTCACTAGTAGACACTGCCAGTGATGGCCATAGTGACAAAAACTAAGAGAGAAAAAGAAAAAGTTGCCAGCAGCACCGATTAGCATGCGACATTGACACGCAAAGAAGAGAGGAGAAAGGAGCGAGTTATGTTTAGCCTTTCGACTTCTGTCTCGTCTTCTTCTTCTTTGTCATTTTCTTTTGCAGACAGTCCACTAGACTGCTCTGGTCTGTGAGGCTTTTTCTGCTGCCCGGTAATCGATACTCTTTGCTATCGTTATTGCACAGAGTCGCACCCTAAAGCAGTTTTAAAGTGAGCCCTCAGTTATGTTTGTCTGCGCGTCGTCTCGACGTGCCCAGCAAATGTGTGGCACTGCACTAAATTGCGCAATTTAGCCGTCTGGCCCTCAATTAGCTTGCTGGGCCTAGCTAGACTAGACGAAAAGTTAATTAAAAAGAAAGGCAGCAACGGAAGTTGAGAGAGGATAAAGAGTAGAAAAAGATGAGAAAAGACACGAGCTGCTGCTTCTGCCACTTCTTAACAACTGGTTCTCGTCTAATGAACGGAAACGCAGCCAAGCGATCACAATCGAATGAGAAGAGAAAGAGAGAGAAAGAGATGCCAAAAAGTAAAAAAACGAGAGAACTGAGAGGCCCCAGAACTTTAGCAGCCCATTTGGCCCACATTCAGCAGAGCGTAAAACGCTCACCGCAAACGACCTAGCGAGAGAGCAAAGAGTTTACCGGTTTAGTGGGCGTACCTAGGCAGCAGTGATCTGTGTTCAAACGACCTTGGTTGCAAAAGATGAAAGAGAGAAACTGCTGGGAGACAGATAAGCTACCCTGATAAGCAGTGGCAGAAGCAGTAATGAACAATAATTAGAGTAAAGGGTAATTTCGGCTTGTTCGACCGTCTACGATCAGTCTACAAATGTTGCCGTGCTACCGCCGCCGCTCTTGAATGGAGCAAAGGAAGCGTGCAGCCATTTTAGTGACCACTGGCCACGCGTACTCTCTTTCTTCCTAGACAGAGTTTGCCTAAGGCCTCTCTAAAGTGATTACAGTCATAAATTATCAATTTTCAAGCTGCACAGGCTCAGCCAGACAGACAGACATGAGAAGAGTAAAGAGAGAGAAAGAGAATCTGACTGCGGTTGAAACCTTTGAGTCAAATCAAGCTAGGCCGCTGCTGCTTGTGCTCAACTTTTGATATTCGCTTTTAGAGATCTGGCAACTCAGCAACGGCCAACAACTGGAGAGCACTCTGGTCAGGAGCAGCAGCAGCTGACCCCTTCACTCTTCAGCAGATGACCTCCGACTTTCTCTCATTGACTCAAACTTTAAACTTTTCACTTTGCCACAATCAATTCTCTCTCTCTCTCTCTCTCTCTCTCTCTCTCTCTCT